TACCATGTGGATTCATGGATTTTTTTTTCACATTCTGTCTCTCACAGTTGAAGTGTACCTCTGGTGCAAATTACTGACCTCTGTCATCATTTTAGGTGGGCGAACTTGCACAATCGGTGGCTGACTAAATACTTTTTTGCCCCACTGTAAATGTACTCATATTAATTTAGTACTTTTATAGTTTGAGCCCTCTAAGTAGATAATACTACCCACTCACGCATGTATTCATAAAATTCTTGGCAGTAAATTACTTTAATTGCTTGAGGGGAAGCTACAGTGGAAGCGTGTCTATCATGCTGCTTTTGAGGATTCTTTAGAAAAGTTTAGTCATATGTCTGCACTAGAATCTGGTTGAGGAAGTTTACTTTCTGTGGCCATTATTGATTAAACCCATACTTTAAAATTAGTGCATCATATTAAATCAATGCTACAAGGGTTTTTATTGTATGTTTTCTGTGTACATTGCATAAAAAATGTGCATTTTATTTGATTATACACTGTGCCATATATGCGCCAACACTGGAGAATATGCACCCCATGCTTTTCTATTGCTCTTTTCCTCTATAGTGCCATAAATGCCCAAAGGATGCCATTGACCCTACTGCTGCCACTGAAGTGGAAGTGACTGATGGTGCAACAAAAACTGTGACAGCATAAATGGAGCTGATTCATTCAGTTGCAAAGCAGTGAGCTCCTGTTACACTGCCACCATTCAAAACACTTAAAATGGTGAATTTCCAGCTCTAGAGTGCAGAACTGAGGCTACTGAAAGTTAAAACTCCCAACTCACATGATGGACAATTGGCAGCCCAAAGCAGTTTGCACATTTTCTTTTTTTTAACCATTAAGTCACTTACTTCATATGGCTCTGGCCTTTGTACATTCTCAGCAGGATTGAAACACCTATTATGAAAAGACAGCAGATGTGTCATTCCGTGGAAACATTCAAACATCAGTCATCAGCTCCTGTATCAAAGCAGCATTCTTTGACTGCGGAAAGCATTCGGTTGTAATTGCAACCGACCACAACGATCCAGTTTCAGCCCATTATTTCAATCAGTTTTGAATATCACAAAGTGTGTGGGTAGATCAACAAAAGAAACCTGACGCTGCTCAGTAAGTGCATTTGCATATTGAAAATAAATCTTGTTCTAAGCTTACATAATTTCTGAGAACATAATTGCTATTCCAATTTCAGCGTGTCGCATCAGAATATTACTTCACAATTACATGATGAAATGCACATTAGAAATTGTGTTTCTAGTTTTTTTTCTGTTTCTATGTTATGACTGGTTGCCTGTCTCTCTGTATGGGGGACCTCTCTACTACTTTTTAAAAGTAATACAGTGATTCTTAATAAATAAATAAAAAACAACACATATCGTGTCTATTGAACTTGCTTACTATTATTAGTGTATAATCTAAAAGTAATCGTAATAAATTCAGCTGCACAATCCTCTCTCTCTACACTGTGTCATACCAGAAGTTCAGCTTTTATAAGCATCAGCACATTCCATCCATCCATCCATCCATCTTCATCCGCTTTGTCCGGGGCCGGATCGCGGGGGCAGCAGCCTAAGCAAAGAGGCCCAGACCTCCCTCTCCCCAGCCACCTCCTCCAGCTTGTCCGGGGGAATACCAAGGTGTTCCCAGGCCAGCCGAGAGATATAATCTCTCCAGCGTGTCCTGGGTCTGCCCCGGGGCCTCCTCCCGGTGGGACATGCCTGGAACACCTCACCCAGGAGGCGCCCAGGGGGCATCCTTGTCAGATGCCCGAACCACCTCAGCTGGCTCCTTTCGATGTGGAGCAGCAGCTGCTCGACTCTGAGCCCCTCCCGGATGGCCGGACTTCTCACCCTATCTCTAAGGGAGAGGCCAGCCACCCTTCGGAGGAAGCTCATTTCTGCCGCTTGTATCCGCGATCTCGTTTTTTCGGTCACTACCCACAGCTCGTGGCCATAGGTGAGGGTAGGGATGTAGATCGACCGGTAAATTGAGAGCTTCGCTTTTACACTCAGCTCCCTCTTCACCACGACGGACCGGTGCAGCGTCCGCATTACTGCAGCTGCAGCCCCAATCCGTCTGTCGATCTCCGGCTCCCTTCTCCCATCACTCGCGAACAAGACCCCGAGATACTTGAACTCCTCCACTTGGGGCAGGAACTCATCCCCGACCCGGAGTGGGCACTCCACCCTTTTCCGGCTGAGAACCATGGCCTCAGATTTGGAGGTGCTGATCCTCATTCCCGCTGCTTCACACTCGGCTGCGAACCGTTCCAGTGCCAGCTGGAGGCCCTCACCCGATGAAGCCAACAGAACCACATCATCTGCAAAAATCAGAGATGAGATTCTGAGGCCACCAAGGCGAAAGCCCTCCGCCACTTGGCTGCGCCTAGAAATCCTGTCCATAAAAATTATGAACAGAACCGGAGACAAAGGGCAGCCCTGGCGGAGCCCATCACCCACCGGGAACGAGTCCGACTTATTGCCGGCAATGCGAACCAAGCTCTTGCAACGATTGTATAGGGATCGAATGGCCCGTAGCAATGGGCCAGACACCCCATATTCCCGCAACACCTCCCACAGGACACCCCGAGGGCCACGGTCGAATGCCTTCTCCAAGTCCACAAAACACATGTAGACTGGTTGGGCAAACTCCCATGCACCCTCAAGTATCCTGGAGAGGATAAAGAGCTGGTCCAGTGTTCCGCAACCAGGGCGAAAACCGCATTGTTCCTCCTGTATCCGAGGTTCGACTAACGGATGAACTCTCCTTTCCAGCACCCTGGCATAGACTTTCCCAGGGAGGCTGAGGAGTGTGATCCCCCTGTAGTTGGAACACACCCTCCGGTCCCCTTTCTTAAAGATGGGGACCACCACCCCAGTCTGCCAGTCCACAGGTACTGCCCCTGATCTCCACGCAACATTGCAGAGGCGTGTCAACCAGGACAGCCCTACAACATCCAGAGCCTTCAGGAACTCGGGGCGGACCTCATCAACACCAGGGGCTCTGCCACCAAGGAGTTGTTTAACTGCCTCAGTGACCTCGCCCCCGGAAATTGGCGGGTCATTCCCTCATCCCCAGACTCTGCTTCCTCCTCGGAAGACGTGTCAGTGGGATTAAGGAGGTCCTCGAAGTATTCCTTCCACCGCCTGACAATTTTCTCAGTCGACGTCAGCGGCGCTCCGCCAGCACTATACACAGTGCAGGTAGAGCACCGCTTTCCCCTCCTGAGACGTCTGACGGTTTGCCAGAATCTCTTCGAGGCAGTCCAAAAGTCTTTTTCCATGGCCTCTCCGAACTCCTCCCACACCCGAGTTTTTGCTTCAGCCACTGCCCGAGCCGCATTCCGCTTGGCCTGTCGATACCTGTCGGCTGCCTCCGGAGTCCCACAGGCTAACCAAGCCCGATAGGACTCCTTCTTCAGCCTGGTGGCTCCCTTCACCTCTGGTGTCCACCATTTGGTTCGGGGATTACCACCACGGCAGGCACCAACCACCTTGCGGCCGCAGCTCAATGCAGCAGCTTCGGCAATGGAGACGCTGAACATGGTCCATTCGGACTCAATGTCCCCAGTCTCCCTCGGAATGCTGTTGAAGCTCTGCCGGAGGTGTGCGTTGAAGATCTCGCGGACTGGGGCCTCTGCTAGACGTTCCCAGCACACCCTCACTACGCGTTTAGGTGCACCAGGTTTGTCGAGCGTCTTCCCCCGCCACCTGATCCAACTCACCACCAGGTGGTGATCAGTTGACAGCTCAGCCCCTCTCTTTACCCGAGTGTCCAGAACATATGGTCGCAGGTCTGCTGATACGATTACAAAATCGATCATCGACCTACGGCCTAGAGCGTCCTGGTGCCACGCGCACTTATGGACACTCTCATGTTCGAACAGGGTGTTCGTTATGGCCAAACTGTGATTAGCACAGAAGTCCAATAACAGAGCACCGCTCGGGTTCAGATCAGGGAGGCCGTTCCTCCCAATCACGCCCCTCCAGGTCTCGCTGTCGTTACCCACGTGAGCATTGAAGTCTCCCAGCAGGACAACAGAGTCTCCAGGTGGAGCACCCTCCAGCACCCCCCCCAGGGACTCTAAGAAGGCTGGGTACTCTGAACTGCCACTCGGCGCATAAGTGCAGATGACAGTCAGGACCCGTTCCCCGACCCTAAGGCGCAGGGAACAAACCCTCTCGTCCACCGGGAAAAACCCCAACGTACCGGCAGCAAGCCGAGGGGATATTAGGATACCCACCCCAGCCCGCCGCCTCTCACCAGGGGCAACTCCAGACTGAGACAGAGTCCAGCCCCTCTCCAGGAGACTGGTTCCAGAGCCCAAGCCATGTGTAGAGGTGAGCCCGACTATATCTAGCCGGTACCTCTCAACCTCACGCACTAACTCAGGCAGGCTCCTTCCCCACCAGAGAGGTGACATTCCATGTCCCTATTGCCAGCACATTTTTGAATCATAAATGTAGCATGCAATAGAGTACATGTTTGTAGTTCAAAGAAACAGGGAAAAAATAAATTAATAAATACAAATTTGTCATTTAAAAAAATAAGTCTATACGTAGTGGGGAGGGGTTGATCATATAAAGTATGTTTTTGTGATTTCCATGAGTACTCCCTCATGGAAATCACTGAATCTTAAAAATAACCCTACTTTCAGTGTTGTTTTTGTTCCTTCACAGGTGTGCACTTGGGGATGTTGTCACACACACAGCATGGCTTAATCGGTCAAGTATACTGTATGCTGGAGAAGACAAGTGGTCGATTGATCCCAGAGTGAGTTTGGTGACTCTTAATCAAGAGGAGTTCACCATCAAGATTGAAAATGTGGACATGACAGATGAAGGACAGTATGTGTGTGCAATCCAGACAAGCAGTCGACCAAGAACCACCTCAGTTCACATCCTCGTCCAAGGTAATGACGCCAAGATAAAGACAGCTACAGCTGCTGATATGATACTAAATTCAACAATGAGTCCTATGTGAAATTCTAGTAAATTATTGTTTTTTTCCGAATGTGCTACAAGTAATGAGTCTCTGGTAATCACAAAAAAATTAATTTCCTGAACTTATACAGACACCATAACTTATGCCTGCTGCAAATTAATTTTTTTCTTCATGACTATTGCAATTTTAAGCCATTCTTCCTTGAATGTGACTTCAAGCTAAGATATTTTTAGAACCTCTTGCACACATCCATTTTTTTTGTTTTCTTCTTGTTTTGCTAGTATACTATCTATGACTTCTATCTAAAGCACCAGCATAGCAGAGCTGAAGTGGGGAAAAAAACATATAGAGTCAAAACAGGCCTTCAGTGCCTCTCTTAAATCTCATTTTCTCATTCATCGCTCCACTGGAGCAATGAGATGCCAAATGCCTTGCTCAAGGAATGAGAGGGGAGTGTGTTTCTCATCCGCTATATTAGGTAAGGTTAATGGAGAATACCAGGTGTTAAGATGCTTAGGTTATAATGATGTGTGGAGTTGTGATAGTCTCCTAATGGAATTCAGAACACATTGAGGTGCATTGGA